GTGGGGTTTCTTCTTGAATCTCAGCTCTGTAGGGAATCAGGCTGCTGTGCTCCCTCCCACTCCAGAACACGTGAGACCCGTGGGGGCCCAGCCGACTCTGCCCTAGAGGAATTCTCCGTCTGGCAAATGCTGTGCAAACAGACGGTTCCCTCCAAAATGCTGTGGGGGCGATGGGGGATCATTTGAGCTGCATCTTATCAGATTATGAGTTCACAGAATAGATGCGAAAGAGGAGGTGTTGGGGGACCAGGCCAGGGAGGGAGGGAGGCACAGAGGAGCCTGCTTGGAAGACGGGGAAAATTTGATACAGTGATGTGTGTCAGGGCCTGAGCTTTGGTACAAGTCTGGGTTTCATGCTGGCCTCTTTGGGTTCCAGAGCCACCATGTCATCTGGGGAGTGAGAGAGAGCACCTTTTTGCTGGTGCCAATTTTCTTTTTAGCAGCAGAACAGTTTGTTCAAGCCAGAGCTCTCGAGAAGGGCAGTGGAGTGGCCCTGCCTGGGGCAGAGGTGGCCCCACACCCTCCCACCTGCCTCACGCATGGCCCTGCACAGAGTTACTTGTCAACCTCAGCTCAGGGTAGACATGGCCATCGCCCCTTTGTGGCCCCTCTCTTTATTTTATTAGCTGTTGTACCGCCCCCACCTCTAACCCCATCTCTGCCCCTCGCCCTTCTGCTCTTCCAATCCATTTATCAAATGTCGATTTAGACATATGTGTATCTTTGAAAGTAGTTTAGCTTTGGTTGTGTGCGTGTGTGCGTGTGTGTGTGTGTGTGTGTTCTTTATATGAATGTACCTTCTATTTTCAAAACCCAGTTTGGAAACCCTTAGTGGAGCTCAACCCTATCATTCTGCTGAGGTGACTGTTGTCTCAGAGGAGAGAGGTGACCCCCAGGACCCCTCCATGGCACAGCTGAGTGGGCCCAATCCTCCGTCTGACTCCTGGCTCTGCTTCAGCACGCCACCTCCGGCTCCCTAGTTTGAGGGCCAGTTTCTTGGCTCTGTAGACCTTGGCAGAGCCCTCTTAGGTCTGACTCCCTCTCCTGGGCAGTTCTTGGGGAGCCAGGGGACAAGGCACGGGGGAGGGGGTACTGCAGAATCCCGTAGCCTCTGAGGAGGAACAGTTACGTAAAGATCCAGGATGATTCTGGCCCAAGTATGGCCCTAGCACATGTCACCGCGTCCTCTTCTGGCTTTTAGCTGACACATGTGCTCTCTGGGGCGTGATTTTGAGGAATAATTACTCTGTATGCACAGCTAACAAATTATTCTTTAAAACTGAGGAGGTACATTGGATACCTGCTAAGTGCCAGCTCCTTGTGTTAGCTCGTTCAGTCCACACAGCTACTCTGTTGTTTTCAGCATCATTTTACCCGTTTTATAGATGAAGAAACAGGCTCAGGGAAGTGAAGTGATTTTTGCAGAAGATGACATGATATCTGTGGTTGAGCTGGGATTTAAATCCAGGTTTGTATGACGCCAGAGCCATGTTTGTTCAATGTACCGTGCTGATTCTGTGCTTAGGGTATGAGGCTCAATGTGGGAGCTGGCAAGGAGGAGAGGTAGTTTGGGTAATCATTCCTGGGCCTACCAGAATGTACCAGCTGTGAGTCTGGGCAGGCATCCCATCCTACTGCCTTGTGAGACCAAGGCCGGTAAGGTAGGCAATTCGGTAAAAATAAAAAGTCCGGGCTTTGTTCTCAGGAGGACTTGGATTCAAATGCTGTGCGTCCTAGGGTAAGTCGCTCAATCTCTCTGAACCTCTGTAAAAGATGATGCCAAGCCCTTTCTTGCAAAGCTGTTGCGAGAAGCAGAGATGATACACATACACTGCCTACACACGTTAGTCGTTCATTCAATTACATATATCTATTACGATAAGGTGATGGTTCTCAAACTTCCATGTGCATAAGAAGCACCTGGGAATGCAAATTGCTAGACCCCATTCCCAGGGATTTTGATGAACAGGTCTAGGGTGGAGACCAGGAATATTTAGTTCACAATTTTGCCCAGGTATGATTCTGATGCAGGTGAAATGAGGACCCTGCTCCAAGAAACAGTCTAGGAAAAGTACATGTGAGGCCACTGAGAGCAGAGAGCCTTTATTCCTGAGCCTAAAGTCATGTTCTGGAACCACAGCCTGCCCCATGGGCCAGCCAATGCCCGAGGAGCAGGAGGAAACCTGGGAGAGGTGACTGCAGCGCTCACAGCTTGGGCCTGTGACCCACGAACTCGTCCCAGCCCTTCCGACAGGTCCTGATGATCCACTCGTGCTCATCGTCATCTGCAAGAGAAGAGGGAGAGCTGGTCATGCCTGGAGCTTGCTGGGCCTCCCCTGCCCTGGGAGACCCCCAGGTGAGGTCTCTGGATGCAGGTGCACTTCAGCACAGCAGGGAGGCGGCAGCGGGGGCGGACCCTGGTGGCCAGTCTCTTTAGCTCTGTGTTGGGAAGGAACCGACCTTTTGCTAAAACCAGATCCTTCGGTTGCTTGTGAGTGCCTGGTCTTGGGGAGATTGAACACAAAAGGTTTTATAGCTGGTGGATGCTGACGATGGAGGCAGGTGTGACATTGTCTGGCCACGCTGAGCTGGGCACACCTGACAGGGCAGCTCCTTCCACACATGCCCAGTCTGACATCCACAAATGGCACCCCCAGGATGGGCCAGGCCCCGCCGGCCGGTCTTAACTTCCTTTCTGGGCTTTCCATTCTGGACCCTTCAAAGTATCCATGGTTCCCCAGGGGGCTGACACCCCCCGTTTACTCAGGTCCTTTCAGTGGGGACTGGAGAGGAGCTGGGGTTCACACAGGCCCTACATGCATTTCTCTCTCTTAATTTAATCCTCATGACTAAATGATGGCAACCATCTCACCATCCTATGGATGGGCAAACAGGCTCAGAGAGGTCAAGGCACTTGTCCACAGCCACAGGGTTAGTATGTGGGAAAGCCCAGATCTTGAACCTAGGCTGGAACAATAAAGCCTGGGCTGTTTTTTCAACCTCGGATAGAGAGCGCTGAGTGAAACACATTCTTCAGTCTATATAGCACACCACCGTCATCTCTCTGGGCCAGGCCCTCTGCAGACTGATTTTTATTTTTTGCCCTTTCTCCTCCAAACTCACACCCAGCCCCTCCCCCAGCCACGACAGAGACTCTAAGGGTGGGATGTATACCCCTAAAAATGCTTGCAGTTCTGTAAAATATGTACTGTTGCTTTGTGTGCAAATGTGGTTTTAATTTAAAGAAATGGCACTGTGCTGTGAATTTCATTGTCTTAGTTTTTCATCACTACATTTTTGAAACCTATTCTTGTTGCTACACGTACATCTAGTTCTCTGCTTCTTGCGTGCGTTATATGCCGTTGAGTCAGCTTTGACTCCTGGCAACACTATGAATGAGTGACGTCCACAATGTCCCGCCCTCGATAGCCCTGCTCAGCCCTTGTAGACTCAGGCCTATGGCTGCTTTTCAGGAGTCAGTCCATCTCGTATTTGGTCTTCCCCTTTTCCTGCTGCCTCCTCTTTTCCCCAGCACTACTGTCTTTTCCAAAGGACCCTGCCTTCTCACCCAGGAAGTGCCTGAAGTAGGACAGCTCCAGTTTTGTCATTTTTGCCTCCAGTGAGGTCTCAGGCTTAATTTGCTCTAGGACCCACTGTTCATCTTTCTGGTGGTCCAGGGTCTCCACAGAGCTCTCCCCCAACACTGTATTTCAAATGAATCTTTTTTTTTTTTTTCCTATCAGCCTTCTTCACTGTCCAACTTTCACACAGTAATTGGGAATGCAAGGGTGTGGATGATCATAACCTTGGTTTCTAATGACACATCTTTGTTCTTGGTGATCTTTCCTAATTCTCCCACTGCATAGCTTTTTTTTTTTTTTCTTGCTTCTTACTTTTGCCTAATATTCCATGGTGGGCTTTCGTCATATTTTACTATCCATCCTCCCGGCGGTGGAAACGCAAGTTGCCTCCACTTCCTGTTACCAGGAATAACGCGGTAAATAAAACGCTCTTGGGTGCATCCCTTCACTGATACGTGAGAGGATTTCTCTGGGCTTATAGTCCAGGAGGAGGGTCACCAAATCGTATACATACTTCATTCACCAGGACTCCCAGCCAAGCCCAAGTTCTTTTCTTAGCACCACAGTGTCTGTCTGCTGTCCCTCATATTCTGTGCCATACCCTGGGGACAAAGAGAACCAACCCAAACCCCTACCCTCAAGCAGTTCTCGGGGCTGCGGCACTGGAGGAGCCTTGGCCTCCTCTCCTTACCCAGTGCCACCCACCTAAGAGATGGGAGGATGGGACTACCCATCCTTCTTGGGTGACAAGTGGCGGTAGCTGGAGAACAAGGGGGCTCCCTCAGAGCTGAAGCGAGGAGGACCAGCAGAGATCCTGTGCTCCAAATCAGATCCCCACGGTCCACCTTCCTCTTCTGTGAAAGCACCAGGCTCAAAGTCAGGGAGTAGGAGGCTTACTGACAGCCTACTGTGTGCTTCACGCTTTACAAACACCAGATATCACTGAATCTGTGATAGCCCAGTAGGGTAGAGGAGATTACCCCTATTACAGAGGGGATGAGCCTTGTCCCATGTCCACATCCAGTGGAATTCAAACCAAGGCTCACCAGACTTTGAAGCCTGACTTCTCACCCCAGGGCAGAGGTGAAGGTGCCAGAAGGCGAGACTGCCCCCACAGAGCTAGCCTCCTTCCGTCCCCACCCCCAGTAATTCTTCATGTGCGACCTAAGGAAAAAGGCTGGCTGCCGGAGACGCTTTGAGGACTGCCCTAAGTAGCCAGCTGGCCTCAGTTTCCCCTGGGGAGGCTGCCTGGGAAT